AACAAAAACCTATTGCTTACTTCAGCACCGCCTTGAAGGGAAAACACCTTTTGTTGTCCACTTATGAAAAGGAACTTATGGCACTGGTTCTTACAGTAAAAAAATGACGACCTTACTTGCTTGGACGTCACTTTGTGGTTCGAACTGATCAGCGCAGCCTCAAATTTCTTTGGGAGCAACGAATAATGACAGAACCACAACAAAAATGGCTGCTCAAATTAATGGGTTATGACTTCTCCATCGAATACAAAAAGGGTAAGAATAATATGAAAGCAGATGCTCTATGAAGAAGAGAAACACAAGGGGGAGTTCAATGCAGTTTCTAGCCCTCTTCCTCAATGGCTGGAGTCCATCAAGGGCGAGAACCAGTCACACCTGGAGCTGCAACGAATTTATCACTTACACGAGCAAGGAGAAACTATTGGACCATGGGAAAATCGACATGGCGTAATGTTCTTTAAGGGACGTATCTATCTTCCATCAAACTCAGAACTCATTCCAATCATTTTTTAGGAAATTCATGGCGTTGAGCATGAGGGTCTTTACAAAACTCTTCATCGCGTAAAGGCGATATTCTATTGGGGGCAGATAAGGAAAGTTGTACTGGATTACATCAAGCAATGTAGTGTACGTCAACGCCATAAGATAGATCATCAAAAGCTGGTAGGACTTCTCCAATCATTACCTATTCCTACACAGGTATGGGCAGACATCTCTATGGATTTTATTGATGGCCTACCCCCATCTAAGGGGAAGACAGTCCTCTTTGTGGTGGTAGATCGGTTGTCCAAATATGCACACTTTATCCCAATGTCTCACCCATACACTGCACCAAAAGTGGCTCAAATATTCTTTGAAAATGTGTTCAAACTCCATGGCATGCTGAGTTCAATAGTATGTGATCGGGACTCCACTTTTATAAGTGCTTTTTGGAAAGAGCTTTTCAAATTGCAGGGGACTAGCTTCAATTTCAGCTCCTCTTATCACCCCCGAAAGATAGCCAAACGGAGGCAGTAAATTGGACTCTTGAGATGTACCTGCATTGCTTTACTAGTTCAAGACCAAAGGAGTGGGTTCAATGGGTTCCTTGGGCCGAGTTCTGTTACAACACTAGCCTACATGCTTCTACTCGCAAAACTCCCTTTGAAGTGGTGTATGGAAGGGAGCCCCCCAATTTGCTTTCCTATGTTCCGGGTACACCAAAGGTCGGGGCTGTAGATGACATACTCCAAGCAAGAGATCAAGTTGTGAAAGACCTAAGAGGCCAGCTCCAACAAGCACAAGCTAGAATGAAGACTGCTTATGACCAAGGAAGAGTCGAGAGAGAATTTGACGTGGGTGATTGGGTATATCTCAGACTACAACCTTATCGGCAAACTTTGTTGGCATTGAGAAGATCACATAAACTCTCCCCACGATTTTATGGGCCATACCGTGTGCTGGAACGAATTGGGTCGGTGGCTTATCGGCTTGATCTTCCGCCAGGAAGTAAGATTCACCCAGTTTTCCATGTATCACTCCTAAAGAAACAACTGGGTACAACTGATAAAATTGATTCTTCTCTTCCATTAGTATCAGAAACACCAGGTCACCTGCAACCTCAGCCTATAGCAGTTCTAAACTCTCGAGGCAAAGGGCATAAACTTGAATTACTTATACAGTGGCAGGGGCTTCCAACAATCGATGCTACTTGGGAGGATGAGTATAAACTTCGAGAGAAATTCCCAGACTTTATGTGTCCTTGAGGACAAGGACGTTTTCACGGGGAAATGATTGTCATGTGCAGCAATTTTGATTTATTTTAGTTTATTGAGTCAGCCCAAATAATTAGTTGTAGTGAGCTAGAGTTGCTATTTCTTTTAGTTTCTATTTTCTAGCAGTTGCTATTTTCTAGTAGCTGCTATTTTCTAGAAGTTGCTATTTCTTTTAGTTTCTATTTTCGAGTAGCTGCTATTTTCTAGAAGTTGCTATTTTTTTGTAGTTGGTATCTTTTAGTAGTTGCTAAGTTTGTTGGGCCTATAAGCTATAAATTCTATTATTTTCGAGCAATGAAGGGAGGAGATGAAAAAAATTTCAAAGGCTTGTCTTTGAATTCTGTTTCCCAAATTCTTTGATTCTGCTCTTACTTTGCCTTAGCAACATAGCTCGAGGTCGAGGTAGGGGGCGAGGAAGGGGTTGGGAGCGTGCCATCAACCCAGAATGTGACACAAACACCATCTTAAATACAAGGTCTTAGCCATTAATACCGAGTATGGACCCGAACTGGGCTCACATAACTTGTGTCCAAAACTTGTTTATGGTTGCTTCTTTGAAGACGTTAAATGTCAGAAATAAAGAGGGTGTTTGGAATTAAATAAATACTATAACATAGGTGTCACTTCAGCATTTCCCCCCATTTGTAAAAGTAGGCTTTGGTTTATGTGCACATCTAGCGTTTGGAGAAACTTCATTTTAACACTTTCTCCAATAGGTTCATTATTGCTTTTCTCAATTTTCTAAACAAATCAAATATAAAACATTTAGTCAATAAACATCCACAGTTCCAAACACATACAAAACCTATTCTGAAATGTATACTTGAACTGAGGAACCCCACCTTTTAGTATGACTATAACACACGTTAAGCGACTTCTAACCATTTGAACAAATTAATTAATAATAAAACAAACTTTTTTACCCTGTTACTCCTCACTTTTGTAAGAAATCGGATTTGGTCCTCACAAGCTCACCCTTGCAGCCTTGCATTGGAAATATCTTCCCATGAGAAAAAGCGTACAAATAGGGAGATATTCCCAATGCATGGCTGTGGTCTTGTGAGCACTGAAGCCGATGTCCTTTTGTAATCCAAATTTCATGCTCACTTTTTCTATTCACGTCCTTACCCACAATACACTACATCGACACATCTCACAATACAAATACAAGATGCAATTCAAGGCAAGTGGAGAATTGTGGAGAAGTGTGGGTAGAAAATTGTGGGCAGGAAACCACTGTTGTCGAGTTGAATCTTAAGTCTTAGCTTGGAAGGAGTACAAATACACATATGTAGAATGCAAAACCTTGTATTTTATATTATTTTGCAAGGAAAATTTTCAATTAGTACCCTGTACTTTGGGCCTACCGCCACTTTGGTCTCCCAACTTTAAAATGTGACAATTCAATACTTTAACTTTTAAAATGTATCAATTCAATACCTATCATTAACCAGCTGTTAAATGCATTTGAAAAAGACACAAATGCCCTTCGAGTGTCATCTAATTTTCTTTATCAACCATCCAAACATTGACAAAAAATTAACAGCCCTAAATCCTTGACTCTTTTATTTAAGAAAGTTAGGGTCCAAAACGCTTATTGAGATATGACCCCAACTTTCTTGAATAAAAGAAACAGGGATTTGAGATTGTTAATGTTTGAATGGTTGATAAAGAAGATTAGATGACACTTGAAGGGCATTTATATCTTTTTCAAATGCCATTTAACGGCTAGTTAACAGTTGATTAATGGTAGATACTGGATTGACATGTACATATCGAAAATGCTCATTGAGTAATGGCACTAAGCCCATTACAGGATACTAATCAGAAATTTTCCCTATTTTATATTTATCAGTATTGTACATATTTGTATTTTTACTTTCTAAATTAAGCCTCCGAAACAATCTTTGGTTCAATAAGAAAGTACATTTTTCTTTTTATAGAGAGATGCTGAGTTAGAAAAGTCTGCCTGCACAATCTGCCCACAGAATTGATCTTAAATGAAGCCGGTGCACGTATTCTATATTATATACTACATTATTAGACTGTTTGATCTGGTAGTTGGCTGGTTATGACGATACCCACATGGTATTTCCTAGCTAGTTTCCTTCTTTTGGTTAGACTATGTAGCAATACTGTCTCGTATATTTTATAGTCTAAATCTCATGCTCATACGACGCATACAAATCCAACGGTCTGATAGGCCCTTTTATTAGACAAGTAGGCGAAACTAACCTAGACATTCTGAGAGTCTGGGCTATCTATATTACTCCATGGAAAGAAAGAAGTCGCAGTTGATTTGAAGCTGATCATCACGCTGAGAAAGGCTAGAGGTAGGCTGATTCAGCCCACAGAATCGAATTATTTGTTGTGAGTTGTGACAAACAGCCACGCAGGCCAACACGGAACTGTTCAAGGTGGTTGATGGTCGGCAACTAATCTTGTACATATAAATATACGTGCATGCCCCAAGGTATTACAGCCAGTCAGCCATGGATTCTCCCAGCACAGACTACAGAGTAAGCGGAGCATCGATACTTCCAACAGATGAAAGGTCAGAGAATACAGAAGTCGACGATGATCTCTTTGAGATCGACTTGGAAGTGGTTAACAATCTCCCACCACCTTTCTATTGGGAGAGCAACTCCACTGCAACGGATTGCGTACTCCTTGCCAATTGCCTTCTACCAATCTCGGACGTCTCCGGCGCTGTTCCGGTTGCCTCAACTTGGAGGCAACCACCGCCCGTTTTGTGCCAGCTGAGCTTCTCGCATTCCCCGTCAAGGGCTTTGTGTGCCTCTCGGACGACCAGCTGAAACACTCCCGACTGCAATACACTAACCAATTGAGAGACACCAAACCACCATGCACCGGCCTAGAAAGAAGATGGAGACAAGACCAGGAAAAGACTAAGGCAGAAGGCAGAAGCCAAACGGCAGCTCCTTCCCCACTTTGACACAAGAATCTAATGTATGATAAGTTGCAGAAAGTTGTTTAGCATTATTTCCAGCAAATCCTTTCCCGAACTTGTACTTTAATTTCCAGCTCTTGAAATCTCGCTAACCCACATAACTCCTCCCGTTCTGATCTTCGTTTCCCCATAAAAATAAAAGCAAATGTGGAAGAAACTGCAGTTATATGAGCGCTACGAGTCACTGATGTTTTTTGTGCGAAGTGGACCGAAGTCCCTCACAAGAGAAATGGATCAAAAGCACCTCGCAGTGTTCAAGAAAGAGACAAGAGAGATGGAGGAGAGGAACCTGGCTAGATCTTTTGACTGTTTCAAAAAGTTACAGAGTTCTTGTAAACTTTACAAAAAACATGCACAGGTTTGCTGCTTGCTGCTACCCAAGCCTACCTATGAGAAGGAAACAAGGAACAGGGCAAAAAAGGCATATATGTACATTCCCTTCTCCTCGCTCTATCTTTCCTTTTCTTGGGATCTCCATTTCTGCATCTTCCGGTCATTCTTCTGTATCTATTCTCCTCGTATCTGACAGCCACCAAGAACCTTATGCATACCTGCAAACTCAATACTAAGTTATTATCCTTCTTATCTTTTCTGGGTATAAACAGAAATGGCTGATTTAACTTCTCTGAATCAGTGTCTGTACCTGTTTTGGATCGTAGACAGCGTACTCGTTGAATTCAAGGGGTTTCTTCCTTCCTAAAGCCTTCACACCTGCCTTCTTCACTTCTTGGTGTCCTGCATATGCAAAATACCAGATGAGATGATCAGGGCAAAGGAATTGCAACTTCCTTGTATACCTCTGGTGGGCTCTTTAACTCGGTCACTTTGTCGCCCAAGGAAGCAATGGCTAAGACCAGGAAGGGATCCTTCTGGTCTGTCAACAGACGTGAATCCATACCTAGCAGCTTCTGCTGCGGCATCAGAACAAATAATCGCCTTGCCAAACTGAAAAAAAAATTGCAATTGTCATCAATAGGAAACGAGTTACACAGGAAAAATTTAGTAAACAAATTTGTGTTAGTACAAACCATATAGCCTGGAACAGGAAGGTAAGAACCCTTTATGCAAGTGCCTGAGTAGATTAGAACTTCCAGTACCTATCAAAGAAAAATGGAAAGCAAATCATGGTATTTAGTTACTTGGCAATGTAGTCCCTCGGTTACTTACCCAGAGATTAAAAATAAAAAACAACAGTAACATATATATCTTACCACACCACAAGAGAACCTTGTTTGGTAATTTGATTTCTTCATAAGAAGGGAAAGCACTTGATTCAACAGCAAAAATGTTTTTAACTGTTACTCCATAACTCGATCTGCAAGTATATAAACCATGAGCCAGTCAGGTCTACTATGAGATGTGAGGCCACATTTATGTCCCGGACAGTCTCTAATGCAGCTGCTGCCTGCAATCTCCAATAGACTTATGAGCTTCTACTAATTATATATACCAGAAGTATCCAATTCTGTACATGGGTAACAGGTTTTCAATTTTCACTTACATTATCTGCAATATCCAGATAGTCCCTGAAGATAAAGCGCCTGGTAGAGTCATGAGCGTAAACCATCTCTGGCTGAAATCTGACGAAACAGCATGAACTTACTGTCCCATCTCCTCTGTTGATTTCACAGTTTCTATGAACTGTAAGAGAGTTTCCTCACCTGAAAAATTAAATGATCCTCCCATTTCTTAGCTGTAAATTTTTAATAGAGTGATTGGAGAAAACAGTGAGTGCAACGGAATAAACGAGAGAATGTGGTCATGCATCTTTTTAAATGGATATCAGAGAGCATTCCCATAGGTAGATCAGGAGAGTCCAATGCCATCTCCATCATGGCATATCTGTTCAAAATGCAAGATTAATTTCAGAGATCCCTTGGATGTAAAAGGGAAAACAAAAACAATAAATTTTGAAAGCCAGAAACAAGAGTTGATACTCTACTTGTAAATCTCCTGGTTGCACATAAAACTTTCATAAAATTTGCCACCAGTGGTTCAAGCTTGCAATGGCTGACTGCGACTCCAAGTTGTCGAAGACCGAGGCCTCCATAACGCACATCAACCCCATCATCCAGTTCAAAATCCAAGAGTATAGTTACACTTCAAAGCCATCCCCACCTGTATTGAGAACATCTTTCGCGCCTCACAGCACATCCCTACCTGTATTGACTATTGAGAACATCTCCCGGGAGATGATGAGACTGCGCCCCACAATGTCCCACAGCACACCTCCGCGTGTATTAGGAACATCTCCCGATGATAATATAAAAAATGATGATATTATCATCTGGAGATGTTCCAATAAACGGCAGGGGTGTATTATGGGACGATGTGGGGCGCAGTCTTGTGGAGTGCTGATTTGAACTCCGGAATGACTCCAACCAGAAAATTTCCTTGCGAAAACATAAGTTTTTCATTCAAGTCTGGCAGGCTTGTATCAAGCTCGAACAGAATGTGGGCCATGCCTGGTACTTAAGCCCGGCCAGATCAGATATATATATGTTGATGACTGTGTGTATGTATACATATTTGTGATTTTGAATATAAATTTAAATTTAAATGTCTATAATATATTTAATTTCATTAGTTTATGTGGACAAGCCGTGATGCCTGGTCTAGCCCACAAAGAATCAGGTCCTGGCATATAATATCAAGCGCATTTTGCAGGCCCGGGCCCAGGCAGCTGGATACATTGTTATGACCATACAAAAACAGGCCCAGCCCATCATTGTCTTTATTATGATCATGCTAATGTTTGGTGCAAGCACTATGTAAGCAGAAATCATCTATCAGTGGCTCTGAACCTTTGGATATACCATAGCAACCAATATAATCCCAGACTGCAAAGCACAGGTTTGTAGCTCTAAATTCCTATTTAAGTTTAAAAATTTACGATCCATAAAATTTTATTTTAGAATTTCCTTAATTATTAATAAATTATAATTTGATTCTTCATGTAATAAATTCCGAGTGTAATATTGCACTAAATTTCTTCTCGACCAGCAGGATTTGGTAATTCCCTAAGGGCAGAATTAATGGTGGTTATACAAGAATAACATAAGGATTTTGGTAACCTCTTGGCTGTGTACAGTAAATGTCGTACCATCGAAATTCGGGTTCTCAGTTAGGCTCCTTAGGCACTGTTTGGTTTGAAGGAAAAGGTAGGAAAGCGAAGGGAAAAACAGAGAAACCAATACAAAATTTGTAAAGATTTCCCTACCTTTTTTTTTCCTTTCCCTACATTTTCCTTCAAATCAAACATAGCCTAAGGGAAGCTCAGTCATTGGGAAGAAGTCTGAATTGCTTAATCAAGCAGATTCCAAGGAGTGGTAATAAGTTGTCTGACAACTTTGCTAAATCAGGAACATCAGAGGAACCTTTAGGTTATGTCCGGGACCTTGCAAAACATTGTAAAGCTATTAAGCAAGACTGATAATTTCTGGTCTCATACTTAAAACTACGTTGGCATTTTTTTCCCCCACAAAGTGGTTGTTTTCATACTTAAAACTACGTTTCAGCCTGAGATTTTAGAAATAGCAGTCTTCAACATGTAAATTTCTTAAAAAAAAAAAAAATACATTAGGGCAAAAACTTACATCTTTTCATCCTTCCTTGTTGGTCTTTGGTGATATTTAGAAATTTAGATACAAATTTCACTGATTTATTGATTTTCAATTTATCCAGGTAGCAACATTTTTTTTAAATATATCAACTGTTAATGGAACAGTTTCTAGGATATCTAATCCAACAAGTTGGTTCACTACATTGCTTTTTTGGGCACTGCATCCAAATATCATTAATATCTAGTTAAAGCAACACATCAGTGTACATATTGCATGAAAGCTGAGGTCAAAGCAATTGCTAAAGCATACCTTGTCAATTTTAATGGTTAGTGTAACTGACTTCATTCTTCAGATGGTGAGACATGAATTTTCTCCATAAGACCGGGTGACACTTCATTTCTATAAGTGTTTTATTTTTGCTTTCTATTAGACCATTTTGTAGAGGTGTATAAAGAGTAGAAAATTGGTGTATTATTCCAAAATTTTTATAGGGATTTTTAATCATTTTGGATTTTACACATATCTTATATTCATCATCTATTTAGTTAGTGCAAGTGATCAAACCAAGTTTATTCATGTTCTTTATGGATTTAAAATTCAGGTGTGTTAATTTATCATTCTATAAAGAAAAAGAATTGACAATATAAACAGAATTCTTATCTTCATTAATGCTTAATTTTAATATTCCATTGCAACCATATCCGTTTTCAACACTACTAGAATTTCTATGTTTAGAGGCACTTGGCCAGAGGCGGTCAATAAAAAACGCCTTTATAATATATCAAAAGAGGTAAAGTTATTTGGGTGTGAGATTGTTGACACATGATAGAGAAGTTAGTACACAAAAGGAGCTCCAGCAAAGAATAATAGCAAAATTCAAAACTTGGAGCTCAAATTGGTTCTTGGGACAATTGAGCCTAACATAGTTCGAGTTGAGTCTAAATTGGTTTAGGACTGGGTAGAACCAGTTCCAAACCATTGATAATTGGGAAAATATATCAGGAACCACAGTCGACCCAATTGGTTCGGGCCTACTAAGTCAGACCCGATCCATTGACAGCCCTAAACATTTCTAATAGATAGATTACAAATAAGTTTCTGTTTTAAAGATCAAGAATCTAAAACAGGATGTGAATAACAAAAATATGCCACTAAGTGGGTACCTCTTCATCCTTCAGAAGATTTCAAAACTCGCATCTAAAAGAGGTTGGGAAACCTTCTCCTCCAAAATAAGTGTCATTATAGATAACATAGCTTGAGGTACACTCTGTAGATGATGTTCCCTGTACACCAACAATTCTTCAACCATTACTAACATGGCTAAAGGATACTTTTCAAAAGCCTGAATAAAAATTAAAAAACAAATGTTGTGAGGCTACAAGGTATGCCATATGGTTGAAAATCTTTCTAAAAGAATTGATTGTCATTGATTTCATATCCAAAGCCATACAACTTTATTGTGATAATTCCACTGCAATTGCACTTTTGAAGGATGCCCAACATCACTCAAGAGCCAAACACATTAGTATACAATATCATTTTATTCATGAAAAGGTGCATGATGGGTCAATAACTATATCTTATATTATCTTAGAAAGCAATTTAGCAGACCCTATGACTAAAGGACTTCCAATTAAATTATTCAAAATGTTAATGATATGAAGTCCATAATGTAATGAATTTATTTAATTAGTGGAGCTTGTTTTGTTAATTGGGCAAATTTCTTATACTATCAGTATTGTTTAGGTAATTGACTAACTATACGCTTACGGTTTAGTTAATTTCTTATACTATCAGTATTGTTTAGGTAATTTCTTATACTATCAGTATTGTCAATAACTATACGCTTAAAGTACACTACGGAAAGAAACAAAATATCGAATTTTTCCTCCTCTATTCTTCAAATTTCAAAAAAAGAAAAAAACCCAACCGATGAATAGTTCTGATCTGAAAGGTATTTCCCATTGTCATATGCCGGTGCTTCTCCCCCAAGGTATTTTCCGTCATTACTGCAGTTGTCGGTTGGGGATGCCAATGTCTCCCTCACTAGGTGCTAGGTTGTGGAACAATGACTGCACCGACCGGGGTTGGGCACTGTGCTGGCAACCAAAAATGACAGAAGAAAGTGCCACCCACTGGCTACTCATGCCGATTAGTCGAGCAAGAAGTCGTGTCAACACTGAGCTCAGAGGAAGAAAAGGAGAGGGTGAATACCAAATGGTCTTTCAATCAGTGAAAACCTTGAATCAGACCCACATTTTACAAGTGGGTCCTCTCTCACAGCGAACTGAAAAAACAATGTTCATCATCTCTTCCAACTCTCGACACAGCGGTGGCGAACCGGCATTATCCCCTCCACCTCCGGCCAGGTCCCTTCCCCGTTCTCTCTCTCTCTCTTTCCCCCTCTTCTTCTTCTCTTTCTCCTTCTTCCTCTTCTTCTCCTTCCTCCATCTTCATCTCTGTTCATCGTCTTCTTGATGGTGAACAAAGAACTACCACCGGCGTCATCATAGCCGAAAATAATGATGGCCACTGCTATTTTGCTTGACGAAGGCGACGAGCCCTTCATTCTCTCTCCCTCTCAGCATAATCGCCATAGGCAACGACGACCACCGGCGAAGGGCTCCCTCCCTCTCTTTCTCTCTTCGTCCCCTTCATTCTCCCCCCTACTCCCTTCGTTCTTTCTCCTTCTTGCCCCTGTTTCATCACCGCCACTGTTGCAGCAACGGCGAACCCCTCCACATTCGACCTCTCTCTCCCTCGAGAAAAATAGGGCTTTGCCTGGATTCGACAGTTGCGACAGTTGGAAGGATTTCTGGAGAGATCCTTTTTGTTGGAGAAGTCACCGGGCATGGCTGCCACCGCCTGCAACAACGATAGTGCTCAGTCTCTGAGAAAAACAACAGTGTGGGCTACGAAAATATTTACACCCAAAGATGGTCTAAGCGGAGACCCGTTACAACTCTCTCTCCCTCTCCCTCTCACGCCTATTTCATCACCCTACAGTGGTGGACCTCTCCAATAGTGGCGGCGCTCTAGTATTACTGCACGTCTGGGGGTGGAACACTACTGTCTTCACCGTCTCCATCTCCAGCCTCTCTCTCTCTCTCTTCTCCATCCCTTCTATTCTCTCTCCCCTATTTCGTCACTACCCAGTGGAACCCTCCACCGGCCTCTCTCACTCCAACACACCCAAGGCCAAGCTCTGAATTCCTCCCGCCTCCTCAAACTCTTCCAACAGATCCCGCCTCACCTTGGATGGAGTCGCCGAGCTGGGGGTTGCAGGTCTGAAAGGGCGATTAGAAAATATACGGTGGTAACCAGATACATGGCATGTTCGATCACTAATCTCTCATTTCGTTATAGGTTCTTATTGAACAATAAAGACATTTTAGGAATTTTAAAATAATTAGAACTCACGTGACATCACATATGAATATGAATGAAGTGTGACAGAAAATCAATCAGAAGGGACATTTTAGATAATTGTCAAAAAATTTAAGAGTACTTTAAGACAATAACTAAATAGTAAGGGTGGAATTATTAAGGGTGAAATTAACTAAACAGTAGGGATAGTTTAAGGAAATTGCCCTTTGTAAATTCATTGTATCGATCCAAACTTTGTTGTACACATTTGATTCGCGTAGCTGATTACTGCTAGTTGTTCTTCATCATCTAGATGATGCACTTAAGTATACAAAATATACCATTATGGTTAGTTGACCATTACTAGGGTCTCAGAAGGTAATTTCGCAAATTCATTGTATTGATTAGACCTATTCAGTATTCACGAGCCAGGCCGGGCTTTGCCTCTTTATCAACAGATAATGTCTAGGCCCGAGCCCGAGACCAAAGCCCGATATGCACATAAAATGTCCTATTTTTGTTGTAATTTAGTAAACTAATATTATATTAATTTGGTAATAATTTAATAAATTAATTCATATTTCCTAAATAGTAAATTAATATTTGATAATAGCTTTATAAAGAAATACATAATATATATTTATTATATATAAATAATATATATTTCTATTATATGTAATAGTATCAGGCTAGGCTTATTTGAGAAAGCCCGAGCCTGGCCTGAAAAATAATCGGGCCTGGTATTTAAAGCCCGAGCTCAAGCCCGTGGCCTTGAAATTTTGTCCAAGCCCGAAAAATATCAGGTCGGGCCAGCCTGTTGGGCTACCCGAGCCTAATAATTAAGCGCATCATTAACTTTTATTCAATTTAATGTCCACAACGAATTCAAATAAATAACATATATTATATTTAATCACCCCAAATATAAATTAAGAAGATTAATATTCTATAAATTAATAGAACAAATAATCTATAAATCTATATTTATATTAAAAAATGATTTTTAATCTCAAGAAATTTATACAAATAAAAATACTAATAATGAAGTAATTATCTTATACTTAAAATATATAAAATTGAAGAAGATATGTATCTTAAAAATTTTCTATTTTTTAATTTGTATTAAATAACAATATTGTATTTATTATGTACAAAAATAAAAATATTATTTACAAATTATTTGAGAATATAATATAAATTTAATCTATCAAGTCCACTAATCTACATTTATATAAAGTATTGTTAACTTAAGAAAATAAAAATATTAATAATGGAATAATTATTTTAGTAATTAAAAATTATGAATTTACATATGATATGTATCTTGAAAGTTTGAATAGATTCGATATATTTTAAGATTATATATTTTTGTAAATTATCAATTGATATTTTAATTTACATTTTGTAATAACATATTTATTGTTTTCAAAAAAAATATCATTTACCAAACAATTGAGAATTAAATTTTTAGTTGACCTTTTTGTTAATGTTAAAAATTAAAAAAAAAGATAAATATAAAATAATTAATATAATAATTCAAATATAATAGTTGCATATTTTTTTGCCTTGGACTTTAATAGAAAATAAAATAATATTGGCTATGCTTGTATTAATTTGTAAATTAAATATATATAATATATCTCTTGGGCTCTTGATTAATGTATTATCAATAAAGTTGTATGATATCTATGCATCCTACCATAATAATTGTAATGTATTTTTTCATATATATCATTAAAATATACATTTTTATGTATTTATACACTATTTGTAGTTATTTTGACATTTAGTTTAGTGGTATTAATATATTTATGGAATTTGTACGCATTTTCCTAGTGTCTCTAAGCGTTTCCATATCTTACGTCTGTATCCATGTGTTTTCAAAGCATATCCGTATCCAATCTGTCCAATACAATACCCAATACTAATAATTTAATCCTTGTCCTATTATGCCAAATTTATACTTTATGACTTGGGGATGGTGATTTTGTAAATACTTTGACATGAACATAAATTTGTGCTTGCATTAAATTAAAAAGATCATCTCTTCTTGCTCAAATCAAGGTTTAAAGTATAGAGTATCAACCTGTATCGACTGATGCGTATCGTACCGGTGGCTTTCCGATATTGCCCTTATAGGGGTTGTATCAGGTCAGCCACTGGTTCAGAGGGTAGCCGGGCCTTAAACCGGCCCCTCTGAACCGGTTCCAAAAAAATGTAAAACTAGAAAAAAAGCACCGACACAGGCCAATACGCCTTACCAGCATATCGGCCAATGTCGATACTTTGAACATTGGCTCAAATATTTATTGAAGTCATTAAAACCAATTATTGACATCCTTGCTTTGGACCTATAAAAAAATTGAATCCATAGAACAACAGACCAAGTGGGAGATTTATTAGACTAACAACGTAGTTGGTCACGTTGTTGGAGATTTAATGCATTTATTGGACTATTAGAGAACTGAAGTCTGGAAACGTTTAGAGACATCAGGGTCTTTGATGGGTGGACCTTTTAATTGCCCCAAGAACACGTATACATAGAGACGGTCACCACTCGAGGAAGCTGCCATTTCAATCCTTTTCCCATCTTCTTGGAGTCTTAGAGTCGAGTGGAGAGTCATCTGAGAGACCAACACGGGTCAAGGCTGAGTTTTCTAGTTGAGAATAGAAAAATGGAAGGTATGATCTAATTCTCATATAGATTTATGTATATTCTTGTTTAATGACGATTTTTAAATTTTAAGCCAACCTGCGTCTAAAAGACTTCAGAGCACACCAAGTCACCAATACAAGCTCTACTTGATCTGATTTTTACATGGAATTAGGATTTACAACTCACATAGCACGCCTCACACCAACCTTACAGTATATTACAGCCATTCATTGGGAGCATGTCTCATGAATAATAACTTATAAATGCAGAGATTCTCTAGATGTGCTGCTTCAAGTGCTGTGAGGAATAAATCCGAACTCACTTAATTGCCCATTATTTAACCCAAAAAAGGGAAATAGTCTAAAATTCACCATGAGTTTTCAACATTTTTGTTAAACTCACCACAACTTTTCAAAATGTCTAAAACTCACCATGTCAGTAAGTTTTTATTTTCCAAAACTCACCTTCCGTTAGTGCACCGTTAATGCTTCTTAACAAATTTTCATGATCAAATTACCCTTGAATGGTGAGTTAGAGGAAAAAGAGTGCACTGTTATCCAATCTTTATATTTTTCAAGTTTTTTTTTGTCTTTTTCAGTTTTTAATTTTCTTGTTTTTTTTACATTTTTAGTGTTTTGTTATAATTTACAATGTTTTTTATATTTTTTTTACATTTTTCTATTTTCTATGATCTATAAATTTTCTTGTATTTTTTGTTATTTATTTGCAATTTTTTGTGTTTTTCTATATTTTTTGTTGTTTCTTTCTACAATTTTTATTTTCTGATTTTGTTTTTCAATTTCTATAGTTTCTATAATTTAAAAATATTTTTTTATTTTGTTTGCAATTTCTATAACTTTTTATACTTTTTGTAATTTCTGTGTTTTTATGTGTTTTATATTTGAAAATATTTTTTGAACTTTTTTCCTTTTTTCATGTCTTAATATTAAAATATATGTATGTATTTTATATTTTCTGTGAAGGTTAAAATTATAATATATTAACACCCCTTAGTCTGTTTAACGTCAAGTTAGTGGCATGGTGAATTTAGACATTTTGAGAAGTTGTGGTGACTTTAAGGGGTCATTCTTTTTTCAGATTTTGAG